TCTTCTTCGTAATTTTGGGTCCTTCACTCATCTTCATGTAAAAAGGAAGGACAACCGCTGATCATCTCCTTCCCTCCTTTATATACCTTATCGAGTGGGCGGGGCAGTGAGAGAGGAAGAGGGCGCAGAGAAGCAGCGCACCGATTGGAGCGCACTTTCTTCGTTCGCAGGCCATTTCGCCAATTACCACTGGTCCAAATGTGTTGAATGATCATTGCTTTTTTTTCGCGGATGTTTGTGATATGCTGTATGTAATGCCTTAGGCTTTTCATATTTTTGGCCTCCAACATTATTGACGTATTAGCGATAAGGAATGATAGTATTTAATCCTCTATATAATCAGAGCCTTTGTACACTGTACTAAAGCGAATAGCCGTTTGGAACTGAGGAAACAATCACGAGGGTGACTGCTAAAAAAGGGAACTTTGATATGAATAGAGTTATTAGTGCAATGGGGATAATGTGAGGGTCAGCGGAACTACATGGAGAATCTTCAGAGGAGCACCATTCGCAAATTTCACATATGCTTGCAACATCAGGGTCGATTGATTGAGTACATTTTTTTAGTCGACTTTATTTTTGTTCTGGACGTTTTACAGCTTTCTTTAGAACACATTGTGAGAGCCTGGGTTAAGTAAAATATGCCGGGAGACGGGCAGTTGAATCGGTTTTGTGTAATTGGTGCGCCGCACGCGGCAGTTGTGGGCTAGTTGCTTCGTTTTGTAGCTCGAGCGTTCCTTATACATCTCGATCGATATACTATTAATGTTTTTGGCCCTACTGACACTTTTTTTGATCCTGTATTTCTCATACGCTGCGCTGCTTCTGCTTCCTTCTGCTGCACTCCTTCGGTACTACTCCCTACTAAGGCTTGGTTAAGACTATTTTTTTGGCTGAGAACATTCTCTGAGCACAAATAAGGTCATCTACCCCTCCTCCTCTGCACTCTTCTTACTGTTGGGAAGAGCAGTGTCCCAACCCCCTCCCCCGACTAGATTTTCACCACAGTTCCAAAAGGTAACGCACCGCTGCGTGGTGTGCTGCCGCACGCCTCGTTGGCACATAATACGTCTTCGATGTGGTCAGTGGTTAAAAGCGTCAGCACGTTTTATCTCATTTCCATTCACTCTCAGACGTTCAAGCTTGCGAGGTTGATTATCCTTCATCTCTTGGTCAAAGGGCTTTATGGTATACCTTACTTTAGATGAGGCTCAAAACAAAGTATTTTTTGCGCACACTCAATTCTGGTTGTGCAGTACTACACACGTTCGCAGTACGATGCTACTCGTCCACAACAGTAGGTTCTGGGTTATGAAGGTTACTAAGCAATGTTTCACCTCATTCTCCTTAACTAGTATTTCTAACAACATACGGTTTCAGCGTGGCCTTGATGTCGCCGTAATTGGTGCTCCAAATGTGGGAAAGTCGTTACTTACGAATCAACTTGTTCGAGCTTCGGTTTCTTCCGTAAGCAGCAAGATGGACACCACGACAAAGGTTCGGAGTTTTACTACTTCGTAGTCGTTACCTCAAAGGTACGTACAGGGTTTACTACTTTGAGTCGTAACCTAATGATTCTGA